GGTGGAGAGGCTAAGAAACTGCTGCATTTTGTGGTCCGCTAGTGCCCTTCTAAAGTTGGGATTCCAGGTTCGCTTTTGGCCCGTGATTTCCATTAGGGACTCCATCGTGCCTGTGGGTTCCTGGCAAGCTGAAACAAATAGGATATTGGTCTTTTAAAGGCTCATGGCCCAACCAGGGGTCTAACCAAAAAAGGGTTTAATTGCCAATGCAAGGTCAAATTCTGACTTTGGATTTGAAGAGGTTGTAAGGGCAAAGGATTGATTTCCAGGCCCCGGAAGAGTTATTATGAGCTCTGCGCTCAGGGACCAAGATAGATCCATAGAGTGGTATTTGGAGTTGATGATGTCCTGCCATAGATGGTTGCTTTGGGTGGCTAGATGCCACCACCATTTCCCGAGAAGGGCAAGATTGTTATACTTGAGTCTGCGAATGCCTAACCCCCCAAGACTTCGGGGAGCAAACCTTAGACCAAGAAACCGGCTGAATTTTCTTGTTTCCATCTCATCATTTGCAAAGATATATACTAAGACAATAATCTTTTCGGACCAAGCACTAAATGTCATATGACATTGGTCATATAATTGCGGTTACATAGATCTTTATTATGCAACAATCTTAACTAGAGGTATTAGGTATACGAGGATTAGCCGAATCCACCTCCAGGTTAAAGGAAATTTCTTAGGTATTTTTAGCTACTTTTAGTTATCTCTGGCAAAAAACATGTGATTTTCAATGAATTATTTGGAACAAAGAAAAAATAAGTCTCGAAAAGATAAACTTAAGTAAAACACTTATTTTAGATAACTGTCTGATAGACACTACCAAACAGCGGATAATTTGTTATCTGTAATTAACTTTATTGGAACAGTAAATTATAATTGATAACAACTATATCCAAACACACCCCTTGTAAATAACAAGGGCTCTCTCTTACGCCGTGTTTGTTTGCTGGAAGATAATGTTCCCTGGAAACTAGAAGTTGTTCTTTGCTGAGAAGTAGAATACTATCGTTTTAAGGAAGTTCCGAGTAGCTGTGTTTGATATCCTGCTGGAATGTTAAGGAAGTTCTGAGCAACTGTGTTTGATAACATGCTGGAATGTTAACAGTTAATACACATTATTAACTGTGTGTATGGAATGGGCCGCCCACACACAACAATCCATTCCACTATTAACAATGTATATGGATTATGGAATGTACACTTGAGAATGACATTTATTGACTATTAACAGTCCATATACATTGTTAACAGTGTATCTATATATATGGCTATCAAGAGTGGAGTTTATGAATTTGATAATAGTCCATAAACACTATTAACAATGCCATGTTAACAGTGTATATACACGATAAACACTATTAACAATATATTTGAACTATAGAAAAGCATTGACAAATAATACTAAATCTATTACTGAAAGTAAATTGTAACAAATTATGGTACATATGCAGAAAGGCATTGATGTATAACAATCAATCTCAAAAATATTTCAGCAACTAATACTATTCAGTACACTCATATACAAAATTCAAGGAAGGAAAATAATTATTTTCTCTGTGGATCCTCAAATGGGATTTACTGCATGACCAAAAAAAACAGCCAAATTCGCCAACCTAAGTTACCAGGACAAGCAAAGTGCCCCTATTTAACCCCATTTGCATCAAATACACCAGCCATTAACAAAACAACATATATCTCCAAGAACAAATAAACATTAAACAGCTCCATTAACTCAGAGCCAAATAAAAATTTTAACCCCTCACCAAAGGCATTTAAGCCCCACAGAGGAAAAATAAATGACAAAAAAGAAGGCAAATAATTCATGTAACTAAAAATTAGACCAAATTTAGAATACTACCCCGTACCAGGCACCCCATTCAAGCCCTGAGGATTCTAGACCAGAGTTCCTTGAAAAGCACCTTCGACTATTAACCCCTCAAAAACCCAATCAGGGTTCTGAGGAGACCCCATTCTTCTCCTCAAAGTGCCCCTCAATGATTGGGGCAACAATCAATCCTAGAGAGAGAAGAAGTCACATTGCAAAAGATTTGCTTCGAATTGGGTCAAGCAATTTATCGGCAGAGGGAATAAAAGCCAGACCCATTCTTCTCCTCAAAGTTCCCCTAATTTCTAAACAACAATCAATCCTAGAGAGAGAGGTCACATTGCAAAGATTTGCTTGGAATTGGGACAAGCAATTTATCAGCGAAGGGAATAAATGCATGCCAAGGTAAAAAATCCGCAAAATTTGAGACGAGAAAGAGAGAGAGAGAGTCCTGTGTTTGTATCGAAATAGAATGAGAGGAGCAAAATGAGGGATTAGAATGGAAAGTTGTATAGACCTTCATCTTGCGTGAGATGATGCGAGGAAGACAGACCAGATGAGAGAGAGACGAAACTAGGAGAGATTCAGAGAAAGAGAGAGCAGACGGAGAGAGGGACTGAGATAGCAGATGAGAAAGAAAGAGAGAGCGGATGAGAGAGAGAGAGAGAGAGGGGGGGGAGAATACCTTGCTGGCGCGAACAGGTAGTAAGGAACATTCGGCAACACTAGCGAGACAAAAAGGGCCTTCCCCATCAAACTTTCCGAGTTTCGTGACCCGGTTTTTTGAAGGGAAAGTCTACTCTTGCAACCTTAACATGTAGAATCACATATGCACCTTGAAAATCTCTCGGAATTATTGTTTTAAGGGAAAAGTTTATATAAGGTTGCAACCTTAAAATGTAAAATCACATATGCACCTCAAAAATATACTGAAATGGTTAGTTTTAATGTTGACAAAACATTTTAATCGATCATCTCGATATCGAAATGTACGAATATAAAAAAAATAAAAAATTTAGTCTCAAGTAGATCTATGTTGAAAATGGACGGTCTAGATAATGTGTTGCAAGATGCACTATTTTTAGGACTCAAAATGTTTTCTTTTTCATATTCATATATCTCAATGTAGAGATGATCAATTGGAGAGTTTTTCAACATTAAAACAACTTTTTCCTATGGATTTTTTAGGTGCATCTTTATTTCTACAATATTTGGGGAAGATATCTTTCTAAACCTAAATTTTCCTGCAAAACAAACACACCCTTAAATAATATTAAGTTGTGTGAGGTTCACATATCCTCCATGAACCCAAGTACCATCATCCCTTAAAACGCAAATATTTGTCAATTCATCGAACCAAGTTCTCACTGATAGACCAAAGCCCATGGTTGACAACATCCCCATTTTAATGTCCCCCAAAAATTATCAGTTTATAAGTCTTTGATGCAGATAAAAGTTCCTGCAAAACATTTTTAAGTATCCTTGAAAGAAATCAAAAAGCATTTGCTTCCTTGCCATTTGCAACTTATGGAAGAGACTTGAGGATGAGAAAAAAGGGGTCAGCCAAAAGCAAAGAATGGATGTTGTGGACATGATTAATAGTTGTGGTCTCATAGACTTGGGCAAAAACTCCTATAAATACTCATGGAGAAACCAGCCAACTAGCACGAGCCGCTATCTTCGAAAAATTGGATAGAATATTGGCATCTAGCCAATAGCTCAAGTATTTTCCTAATTCTAAAATTAACCGCCCTTTTAGACTTACGAAAATACTTGAGCTAATAGCTGGTTAATTTTAGAATTAGGTATTGAGCATAATGATGACCGCAATTCATTTTCGGTAAAAATTGCATACTCATTTCTATATCTCATCATTATGCTCAAATTTGGCCATCCACCAATAGATTCTTATGGAAGATGACAAGACCGATGTTTGATTAAAATTTCGGCTCAAGATGATACTGGATTGGAGAGATATTGGAGTCTCATAAATTAGGCAATTTCTCACTAGGATTCGCCCCCTTAATTGAATTATGACAATGGATTTCCATATATAGATTATAGCTTCATATCAACCATACTATAGATTGAGGTCCAAAGCCTTTTAAATTCTTTAAAACGCGGTTCGAACACAAAGATTGGACATCATAAAAATAAGTGTAGGGTGGAGAAACAATTTGATGGTTCAAATAAAACTTAAAAGCATGAAAAAATAAAAATCGCTAATAGAGTGGAAGTTGGAGACTTTTGGTTAAGTTCTTGGAGCAACATACAAGAACAACTTGAGACCCATCCAACAAACAGACAATGGAATGGACTGCAAGACAAAATTGGTCAACTCAAAGGGATGTAACTTCTGAAGAAATGAAAACCACCATCACGACTCTTAGTCCAAACAAGATACCTGAACCTGATGATTTTCCACCCCAATTCTTCCAAAAGTTTTGGCATATAATAAGCCAGAAATTAAGCAAACCATTAAAGATACTTCAAGAGAGAATCCATCATGCAATTCCCCAACGCAATCTTCATCACCTTAACACCTAAAGGAAAAGGACTCCGCTCTGTGACTGACTTTAAACCTATTAGTTTTGTAATGCCATCTATAACCATAAAGTGATTAGCAAAATCGTTGCTAATAAAACTAAAATGAGTTCTTAGCGAATCATCAGCCCAAATCAACGTGATTTCCTAGAAAATAGACGTATCTTATCTCCACAAGGCTTCTAACAGTGCTAATTTACAATTCTTGATAAATGAACTCGAATGGAGTCAGGGAAAAATGCATGCATTAATTGGATAAAAATGTGAATCATTACGCCTAGGTTCTCTTTGATTCTCAATGGTTATCCCTTTTGGATATTTTGAAGGGAAAAATTTAGACAAGGAAACCTGATCTCTCCTTACCTCTTCCTCATAACCATGGAATGCTTTAACCACCTAGGATTCCTACAGTTCCATCCACTCCTTCAAATAAATAATAATAATGCCTCAAGATTAAAAGAGAAAGTCCAAATTTTCTCTTTTGAGAGCAATCTTGTACTGATTATTTGGTGGTTCCCAAAATACTTTGATAAAGAAAAAGCCCCCAAGCCTTTTACCCAAGGGAGAAAATATATGGTATGCTCTCAAGGGAGCATGGTACACCCGCTAAAAACTGAAAAGCACACCCACATAGAGATGATACCGCAGTTCATGCGCAGCAAACTGCACACTTATATGAATGCACAGATTTTGTGCTACAGAGAGAGTACCATGGACCAAACTACCAAACTTAGTATGGATGTAGAGTGTGCCACAGAGAGAGAGAGAGAGAGACGAGTCCATTTAGAAAGAGAGTCCACATTAGAGAGAGAGAGGAATCCACTTTCGAAAATAATTTAGTTTCAAACGGCACCTACAAGTCTTCCCAATTAAAGCCACGGTAACCATCAAAAACATTAGGTGCCAATGAACATGAATGAGAACAGGTGATATAAATACTTCAATGGAAATGAACAAAGGCAATGTCACAGTAAGTAAAAGAGAACCCCTGTAATACATGGAGCATGCCCATCGGCCATAAACTTGTACAGTGCAAGCATATATTAAAAAAGAAAAAAGAAAAAAAGAGAAAAAGATGCTGAAAGTCTTTCTAGCGGAACTGTTGAACCATTAGCACATCTACTGCCTTCCCTTCTTGGAACTGCACGAAGGGCATTTGTATTGTTTTATATTCTCAGCCTTGGCAGGGGTTATCTTCACACATTTCCCATGGAACCACCTTTCACATACATCACAACCAATCCAGAACTCATCCGCATTGTAGTTACCACCACAGCTGCCACAAAGAGTCTCACTATGCTCATCATCTTCGTCTTCATAACCATCATCAGCTCTCGAGCTGCTTTTTACCTGCCCTTCAACAGATCGCTGCAAGAAACAGGAGTATAAAGCAAACACATCTCATGCTATAATCGACAGAGAAAGGGATAAATCTCTTGAATGAAAACTGTTGATAATACTATGGATAAAAAAAAAAAGGAATCTTACCTTGGGTAGATAGTCTGGTTTTGTAAAACAAAATGGCAAATCGATTGTCAATTAGAGAGAGAGAGAGAGAGAACGGTTGTACCTTGGTGGACAGTCGGGATTTGCTTCCGCTATCAGTGATGACCTTGTCCTTCAAATGCTTTCTCTCTGTTACAACTTCGAAGACAGTAGGCAGATCATTAATCATGGTGAAAAGGCGCTTCCTGCACATTCGGTTTCACAAGAGTAAGCGCAAATTGAATTACAAATTCAAATTCAAGGTAAGAGAAACTACTCCCAGTGAGAAAGTCCTGATACAACTATGAAGCCGTGTTGTGCAGCATCCAATAGGAACGAACGACCAGCAATGAAAACCACATGAACAAAAACTACTAAACCACGCATCTGCTGCAAAGACTCCTTTATCTGTATTTTATTTTCATTGAATCAAGACATTTACTAACAAAACAAATCCCCCACTAAAACTACTTCCTGGTCGTTACATTCTCTGGATTACCTTATACCCAAAAAATTTACCTAGATCCACCAAAACCCGTATGGGCTGTTTACTGGCTCAATCCTACTACCCAACAAGCCATCTCCATTCATCATAGGCCAAACCAAACGGTAATGCACAAGTACACCCATAGGTGTGTTTTTAAAAAAAAAAAATAGAGAAAAAGACAACCGCACTATGGTTGACATAAGTTTCACCATTCAGGAATCAACAGCATAGAACTCCTAATCCAAAATGTACGAATCACTACCAACTAAGTTATCCATTTCCTTCAGTAGGGCAGCCAATCATGGGAGAGGAAAAAGAATCAAATCTATGGTTTACAAGAATTGGTTTACGAGAATAGACTTCAATATTTCAAGATGAGACTACATTGAACTGGACCAAATTGGAAATATGAAGTAAATAATTCTTCTTGAAACAACTAATTTGGATGTACTTTCACAATTTGGACTTCGAAATTCAAACTCGACCAACATGAATTAAGTTGGGTTAAAACAATTTCTCAGATCTGGGAAAGATAGAAGGGTCACTCGCAGTCTTTTGTTAACAAACTTGACATGACAGGGTAATTGGCCATTGTTAGATACCTTGGGCCTTGAAGGTCCAAGGACTCTTCTGGTATCCTCTAGCTTCTGGGTTGGCAGCCAAATTAGATAGAAGACGACATTCTAAAGTGCAGTCTTTGGAAGTTGTAAACCCACCATCAAAGGCATGCCAAGAACTTGCCTATGTGACTAGGTGAATTAAATGTTTCGACAGAATGTGTAGTACAGAAAATTTGATAAAAAAATATGAATCCAAATACATGGGCCAGAGATTGCACAAAAATCAAAAAACAAACTCACTCGAGATTGCCTAATAATCAAGAGTTTTTCATTAAAATAGGTTCTTCGTAAGCAACTTGTTTCATTAATATCTGACTTAGGATACAAAGAATGGAATGCCTTAGATCCGTGGTCACAAAGACATTTAAGAATTTAAGAAAGAAGAAAAATTTATGGATACGAGACTTTGGATTGATATAAAATCCTAAGTACCGTACTTATGGATGAGAGGGATCCAAAACAGCAATTTCCTCTCTTTAGAACTTCTCCTAGCTTTGCTCTTGAATCTCAAAGGATATATCTCAAATCTCAATGTACATGAAGCTTTTTATTGATTTTCAGAGAGGATTTCAGAAGTTATAGTCTCGAAAATCGTGCTGGAAATCTCTCTCTCTCTCTTCACCAAAAAAGATCTTATGCATATGGAAGCACACCCTTATATAATGGATGAAATTGGTGGTCAAGTCAAATCTTCAGTATTTGGCAAGTTCTTCCTTCAAATCTGATTTTCTCCAGAGCATGTTCCTTTGGAAACTTCAGAAGATATTATCTTGGAAATTCCCTGCATTTTTAGATCACAATCCCACAATTCATGGGCATGAATCATGAGAATGTCTTGTTCATTGCGAGGGGCGGATGAACACGAGGTGACTTCCTGAAAACAACAAAAATCATCTTATCTAACAAGTTTGGAGTCTTCATAATGATCCTCACTCAATAGACTATCCAAAAATTAATCTTATCACCTTGGTTGCACATGGAATTACGCTATATATTTAAGTTACTCTCCAGAAGCACGGCATCTTTCAGGGAAGTCTCAGATTTTGAATCAAATCTTCTATTTCCTTCAATTATGCCCCTGAATATTCTGGAAACAACCACTTTCTGTCTCCATCGCTTTGTTTGTTAATCTCAAAACTAATCACCCCCTTTCAATATTTTGAAGAAATTCCAAATCCAAGCTCAAGAAACACACCATATTTTCACTGCTTCTTATTTGATTCCATAGTTCCATGCCTTTGCTTTGACTAAAGCAAATTATGGAAACCATGTTCAAACTTTTCTAGACCACTCCTAACCCCTTCATGGCAACCAAATCTTCGACAACATAACCATTATCAAGTTCACCGCAAACCTATAAACATAGAGCTCGCACCTCACGGTCAACTGGCAAACATACATTAAAAACTCTTCTTTTCATCACAAAACCTTAGTAGCATCACTACCACACTTAATCCATGCACCTCACCAAGTTTGGACCTGTTTGGATATCCCTCAACCCAGTTGGTGAAGTTCACCACAAGCGTTCCCCATATATTCACGATTCATTGGGAGATTCCTTAGCACACCATTTTCATGCTCTTTCCTTGATTTGGACTCATTTGGATCACACCTAGCCCCTTTTGTCAAGTTGATCGGGTGGGCCTATGTATCTCACTACAGACTCCGCGTTGAACTTGACTTCGTCAACCTAGGCTTCTCCAAATCCAGTGAAACTTGGGATACAACTTCAAAATGCTAACCATCCCATCAATTTTGAACTCATTTGAACATCATTTAGTCCCCAATGTCAAGTTCACTGTGCGGAACCGATCATGGTACTATAGCCTTGCAGTAAACTAGACAAAACCCCAATCTTGACATCCAATATGTCTGATTATTGGTATATAGCTACATTTCATCCTTCAAAAGGGCCTTTCCAAAGTGGCAAGGAAGGATATAAAATTCTATAAAATTGTTGGTGACCACGAGCAGAAAACTAAGCTTTTAATTGTGCCACATGTGTATAGCAAGGAAGGATATAAAACTATATAAAATTGTTGGTGTACACAAGCGGAAACCTAAGATTACTATAGAAGATTTGTGTACAAATATATCTAGTTTGGAAAAAACTTGCCCCTGCAGGCACACTCCTTTCCAACAATAAGATGGGGACCATCTCTACATGCACACAGTCATCTTACCTAGAGAACTTAGGTATCAGCTGATGCAAGCGCCTTGGTTTCCATTATGAGGTGAGGCCATTCTGTTCCAAAGTACTATGGTTGAAAGACTCCTGGGTTAGACAGTTATCTTCTGGCTTTTTAAAGACTTATCAGGGCTGATAAATAGTGCCCCAGCAACAAGGCTTAAGTTTTACAAAAACAGAGTGACAACGATAGTACTTCTACATCCATCACTTTTTTTTTCTTTTTTTCCTCAGATGAAGTGGAGAACATATGAAATTCTATGCATGCTACTTCCAACATCCCCAATTTGTATCTGTATCTGTGGAATAAGATTTCATAAAGTTGCTATAATGGGAGTAAACAAGGGTATGCTATGACAAATAGATCTGGAATTGCCAAATTGGAGCACTTGCCAGAGTATATAGGATACAGGGGTGGATTGACAAGCAAACAATGGCAGATTGAACCCTTGAATGGCTCATTTAACACGCTTACTGATGAGTGATTTCAGATATGCAAGCCCCAAGTTGCCTCTTTCTCTTCCCCTTTTTGGAAAATATTTTTTGATTTTGTCCAGCAACTGGTAAAGAGAACTTCCTAAATGGATTCTCAGAGAGGCAGTGACATCGTATTCGTCAAGTAGTTGAAGACACACCACGCAGTCTGTTGGGACTACAATGACAAGTTCATCAAGCTAAGATCAATCAAAGAAAACATATAGAGGGTTTAAGGAGAACAGCCTCCATCTGGAATTGCTTCAGGCTACATCCTATCAGCATTTAGAATGCCCCTTAGTGTTTTTGCCTTTCATGGATAGGACAACATTTGATGTTAGTATCTCAATTAAGGTGGATCAGTCTATTGGTAACAATTAGTAGAACAAATGTTGTCAGATTCGCTTCGGAGACTTCTCCGGTTTGGTGAGAAAAATGAAGCAATTTGGTGCTTCAGCCAATTCGAGGAGAAGACTTCAGATTTGGTTTTTTAATTTAATATAAATAAATTAATATATAAAATAAATGAAAAACTAAAATTAAATTTTTCAAAAATAAATTAAAAGAAATAAAAAATTGTTTTATTTAGATATTTCTTTGCTTAAGCGAAAGAGGCCGTAGCTTTGGCCGAATCTACCCAAAGTAGACCCGAATCTGGCCAAAGCGGTCCAAATCTGACCAAAGCGGCACCACCAGGCTTCGCTTCTCTTCGGTCTAGGCCTAAAATCCAAAGGCTTCGGCTTCTTCGGAAGAAGAGAAGCAAATTTGACAACATTGGGTGAAAGACCTAGAGCATTAAGCATGAGTATCTCAACTGACATAGAATCTCTTCCATGGAGAACCCCAAGTGCCAGATAATCTAACACATTAAAAAATACTATAATACCCTTAATCAATATTGCAGATGTTGGGTGTTGATCACTATGTGTCTAGATTGGACTCTTCTAAAACAGCCAGTATAGCAACTGCCAACTAGGTTCAGTCAGCAAACTGCTCTGGGGCTGTAACACAATGGATATCAGGGTTGTCAAATTCTCTTCGCTTTGGATTTTAAGCCTAGACTGAAGTAGAGCGAAGCCTAGTGTTGTCGCTTCGGTCAAATTCGGGTCTGCTTCGGTTTGATTCGACCGAAGCTTCGGCCTCTTCGGCCTAAGCAAAGAAATATCTTTATAAAAGTTTTTTCTTTTCTAAAGTTTTTATTTTTTAGTTTTTTATTATTTTTATAAAAATATTCTTATATATAAATATCAAATTTGTTTATATTAAATTAAAAAAATCCAAAGTCTTCCCCCGAATCGGCCAAAGCACTGATTATTTCATTTTCTCACCAAACCGAGGAAGACTCCAAAGCGAATCTGACAACATTGATGGATATGGCCAGCACCACTAATCCCCAAAGCTAAGATATTGAAATAAACATGGGGCTTAATGTTCCTA